CCTGGGCACACTGCCGGCTCATGTTCAGCCGGCTGTCAACCAGACCCCCCAGGTCCTTTTCTGTCAGGCAGCTTTCCAGCCACTCTTCCCTTCTTCATGTCTACGAATATTCTTATGCTTGGTAGTTATCCCTTGCTTTAAATGATTTTATACTTTATTTAGAACAGAAATTGGTAATTATGTGTGCATTATCCTGACTGATATAATGAACGTGGGGCTCTTAGATGCCACCTTGATGCCCACAAGCATGATAATGACCTGAATTTTTTTTACAATGGTAGGAAATATTTGTGAAACTCTTTTAAGGTAGTGTTCAGACTATCAGAAGACTTGCTACAGAAATCTGGTGTATAATAATACTCTATTATATATGAAGGTAAAGATATATTCTGTGTATGTGTTTTGTACTTTGTGTAGAGGCTGGTGATTGGTGCTCTTATGTGAAATTGTGACAACATACTTCTATTAAGGTGCTTGTCTAGTTTTTTATGTCCTCTCTTCTTTCAGAATAACACTAATGCTTTAGAACACCTCTCGTGAACTCGAGGCTATACATCTATATCATACCTCTCCCATGACTCTCAGAGTCATGGAATTAAGAAAGAAGAAATTGCTTCTGGAGCATCTTTTTAGGTGTTGTTATTACCCCAGAGAATCCTGGAATAGCCTTGGATAACACCCATTTAGTATATAGGAGTTTTATTAATCACGACTTTGAACTTTGGGGTTGCTTTGTTTGGATAGATGGAGCAATAGTGTGTATTTTTCTCTTTAATTGTTGTAGCTTCATCTCTTTTGCCTGAGAATGGTCTAATTGCTGCTTTGGCAATAATTTCTAGCCCAACTTTACCTGTGAATCTTCTGCACAACCAAATTACAGCCCCATATATTCTTTCGTAACTTTTCCAGCTATAACTTTCCATAATCTTTTCCTAAGTAGCTTCTGTTTCATGACTGTACCTCTTCACACTCTCATCCTTTCAGAAGAGATTTTGTCTTATTCCCTGCCTTATAGCAGTACGTTTTTTTTGGTTTTTTTTTTTTTAATATCGCTACAGTGTCAGTTTATCTCAGTTCCAGTACATTGATTAGATTTCCAGGGAATCTGCTACCTAGCACTGCTGCTGTCCAGAAAACTACAGGACAAGTGATTTGCTGGCTTTGTTAATCTAGGAAAAATAATGTGGATTTAAAGGGTAAAGAGATGGGATTACCAAGTAACAGTTATAAGCAAAATGATTCCTGAAGCATGTCACTCGGCAGATCTGTGCTGCTCACAGCCTATTTTTCTATATACTACACAGTTGTATCAAGAGCTGAAAATTGAAAACTTACACTGAAATCTGATAGAAAACAGCTTGAGTCTTCTTAGACTTTTTTCCTTTCTCATCTATATGAGGAACAAGATTGACCCAGTCCTATCCAAGTTGATAACGTTTTCCATCTTGCCTTGGCTTACTAGGAGATTTTGAGATAGATGGAAACAGAATGAAATGGATTTAAACCTTTTGTTGTTTCTGCTTGGAACTGTGTGACATGGATACCATCAATGTTTGCCTAGTTTCATTTTTTTCAGTGTATTCTTTCCACCAAAAATTCCATAACCGAGAAACTTTCAGTGCCCACCAAGTCTTTGTAATAGACTACCTGAGATGAGAAGCCAGCTACCTAATGGAAGCAGACAGAATCGAAGAAAGCAGTCATGTGTATCCTAGATCATATACATAATGAACTAAACAATATAGTCCACTGGATTCTGGTCTTTAAATTGACGAAAGCAACAGCCAGACTTTCTCCGGGAGATTACAGTGACAGGAGTAAAAAGGTGCAAGTGTGAAAGGACAAAATGTTCACTTACAACCTCGTACACCATGGATATGTGATGAAGAAAAAAGAAAAAAATATATTAGGAGAAATTAAGTGGGCAGTACTAGCCATACAGTCAGGTAATTTATATTTGTAGCATTAATTTATATTTGTAGCATTAGACAATTCCTTATAGTATCTTTTTCTCAAATAAACCAGGAAAATGTGAAAGGCATAATTTGAGGGTCATAGGGGGAAATTAATAGTAGGTTTCCGTTATTTGTCTGCGATTTTGAAGTACTTTCATGGTCCCAAAATAGAAGTTCGCCTGCCCTAAAATTGTAAAAATGTAGCTGGTACCTTTTTATGGCTGTGCTGTTGATTCCTGTAATACACCAATGATATTTTACTTTTCAGCAGTCTTTGCAGTTCTTGCTGGATAACTGTAACTATATTCCCATTTTAATATTCAGATATAAACAAAAAATTATCTTTACTGTGCAAATGAGAAATGCCTTTGGGATATGTAAAAGCCTCCGGGTATTTTCAAACAAGCCATTGTAAAAGTACTACTCATGTTAGTGTACTTTCCAGCTACTTTAAATACTATTGATCTCAGTATTATGTAAAGAGTATGCTATTTCTAGTTCACTGCCTTTTGAAACATTCTTTTTTTTTTTTTTTTTTATGATGATGAGTTGGAAAAAAAAAAGTGCTAGAAAGTACCTTTTACAGGTAAATGCATGTGTAAACTCAAATAGAGTTGCAT